GGAGAGGGTTAAAACATAATAATTTTTTCAAAGGAAATGGACGCATTGCTGCATGTAATATGCAACATCTGGACCATATGTTTCAGTGGATAAAGGATATTTGCCTAAGAATTTAAAGGACGCACAGGGTGAAATTTGTTGTGGAACATGAAATAAGAAAGCAATCAGCGTTAGCTGAAGCCCAGTGATTTTATTAGCTTTATTTTTCTCCCCTAAAATTGTTGCCCTGGTAAAGAAGTTGCAAGAAAAGATATAATTGGCTATGATGGGAACATTATGTTCTGAGCAGGGCAGCGTGTGCAGCAAGGAGGGATAAATTTCTGCATGAAATGCAATGAGTTTTTAGGGGTGTAGCAACAATTTAGGCTGGAGGCAGAGGGGACCCTGGGTCTGCAACTCCCCTCAGCCCTTGGAATTTCAGCTTTGCATCTCACACGCCAAAGGCTGTGTCTGCTCCTTCCATGACATGTCTTGATAATGCACCAAGGATTTTTACTGTCTGCTTTTGGATATCTCCAATGCATTTTCTTCCCTGTAAATTTGTGCAAGAGCCATCCAAGGGCCGAAGAAGATCCAGCCCTGACTGGTTTAGTGCATTCATAACCCCATATGGAATAGCCGAAGGCGACGTACTCTTTCGCAGAGCTGTCCTCGCATTTCATACCTGCTGTGCCATGGCCTCGGCCTGAGTGAGCACGTTGATGGAGAGTGAGCCGTTGTCCTCGTAGCTGCTCCTGCGAATGCTGATCCTGTCGCGCTCGTTCTGCACCGCTGAAATGACAGCGAGCAGTGGTATTGTTAGCAAGAAACCTCCCACGCAACCAATGGCTGCTGTTACCCGCAGTCCCCAAATGGGAGTGGATGGGGCTTTAGTGCCTGCAAGAGCCTCCACCCTTGTTGGATGCTGGAATAAGATTATACAGGTCCCTGGGGAGAGGAAAAGGCCACCAGAGAGGGAGAAGACCAAGCACAGGAGCAACAGAGGGAGGTAAGGGTGTTTGGCAGTCAGAGCAACATGCGGGATGTTAGCTGGTCCCACTGGGTTTGATGCAGCTCAGGGGAATTTGGGCATTTGACGTTGACCCTTTTCACTTGGCCATGCAGCCATGCTGCTGGAGTCCTGGCCTCTGATACCCTTTTTGCCACCTCTGCACTGAGGACTCCTCTCCTGAGCTCCCTGTACAGCAAGATGCTCTTGAGGTCACATCTTGTCTTATGGCAACACTGGATAAAACATCCCCTGATCTCACCTCGAAGCAGCCTTGAAGCATCCCCTGCCCCTGAGGCATCGCAGGTCACCAGGGGACATCTCCACCACTCAAGGGGAGCAGGAAGAGCCACCTCACTAAGGAAGCTCCAAAGAAAGGAAGCTTAACTTTGCTAATCCCCCCCTTAAAACCACTCCCTCAGCCTTGCCCATCACCCTGCTGATTTCAATGATCCCATAACCCCAACGGTGATGCCGACATGCAGCTGAGGGAACAAATCAAGCCGGGGTTTATCTCCAGCTCTGCTAGCACCTTGTGCAAATCACTGCTGTATATCAGCTGGGAGTGTCCTGAACTCTTAATAACAGTGATACAACACACCTTGGACATGCTGTAGTGCCACAGCGGAGTGAAGATCAGCCCTGGGCTTTTTTCAGACAGAAAGGTATGGCCCTGCCATGGTGAATTAGGAAAAAAACACTGATTTTTTTTCAGGTCCATTCCACCCTTTAAACCATCCTTTTCCCTGAAGCACAAGCCACATCTAGCCCCATGCTCCATCAACCCTGCGTGTTGAACACAGGGGATTTAGCGCACTTCAGCAGCTTAGTTTTGCAACACAGGGTCCAAGAACTGACTCATCTCCACTGCAGCTATCAGGTAAAACAGCAGCAGAGAAAAAAAGCAGAATTTAGACTTAGTCCAACCTTGTTTTCAGTGTTAGTTTCTCCCCCAAGCCCTATTACCTCCATCCAGCAGCAAACAAGCCCACATGGGGTTGGACGAAGGAGCCTGAACACAGATTCAGCATTTTCCTGACAGCTTGTATGTCTTGATTACGTACGGCTCGGAAAGACAATTGTCAGGTCCTTAAAGCAGAGGGAGTGGGAAGATTTAGCATGTGGTGATAATGCAGCCCATCCCTTCTCCTTCATGCGGCAATTCCAGACTTCTTTTGTGTTTTTTTTTAGAAGGAATAACTCAGACATAGCTGTCAAAGCACAGCTCTGCTTTAACCCCTTGGATGCGAAACAGTATGGTTTTGTCTCAAAAGTGGCCATTGGAGAAGATTTTCCCAGCAAATACTTTTTTTGAGAGTCAGCAGAATCATTTTGCCGTCATTTTTTGGAGACTTTGCCTCGCTGCAGGGCCATGCTGTAGAGCAAGCATCGCTCTTTGCACAAGGCAAGTTTCTCTGAATTCATGCAAAGGAGGAGACATGGGCACCGTTCTGCACACAGGGTGGGAAGGTGGGTTTTTTGTCAGCTCAGATACAACCACCGCTCTGTTTTCCTAACTGACCTCTGATGAGCAGCCAACAAAGTGAAAGGGCAGAAAAAAAGCAACAGTGACAAAAGTCAATATCTCCCATTATCAGCAGGAGCACGGTATTTATTTTCCAGGATTTGGGGCTTAGCCTTGCTGTCAGTTGGGATCTGCTCGCTGCTGAGCTGGCTGTGCTTGGGGGGGGTCTGCTGGGGTCCAGCCACCAAAACCATTTTGCACCTCGGAGCCAAGCTCCCATGAATGCCTGCAAGGGGCTGGATGGGTACATCGATTTGTAAAGGATACAACGCACATACATATTACTGGAGCCTTTTCAGGCTATGGGTACTACATAGACGCAGTTAGACACCGATTTAGAGAAAAAACAACTACAGCCTTTGGGAGGCTCTGCTAACCCTCCTCAGGCAGCAGCATGTATTAGCCTGTATGTGGGGGCGGTGATGGAAAATGCTGCTCAGCTGGGGTTCCCCACCAGTTTAAAGGTGACAGTGTTATAGGAACCATAATTTAGAATTAATCTTCAGAATAGATTAACCCTTCACAGCTTTTTTTGGTACACCAGAAAGATGAGCAGCAGCATCCAGCATCGAGCAGAAACAAGCCCACCTGAATCCATGTCATCGCTGACGTCCTCGGAAAGTCCCCAACCAATCTTCTATGCCTAGTTTCATATCAGACGCTCCCTCACGTAGCGGTTTCATATCAGACGTGCCCTCTCTGGGCGTGATGGGGCTCTTTTTGCCCACTTACAAGAAAAGGTACAAATTTTGCCTTTCCAACCGATCTACACATCCTATTTTACGTAAGTCCTACAAACCCAGGCAGACCTGGTCCTGCTCCCCGATGACAGACCCCTTTAAGAAGCTTCAGACTCTTTTTCTCCCGGGTCCTTTTATGGCCACATATTTCAGTGCTTCCCTCATGCTCTGATAAGCTCAATCTTCAAGTGTAAGTGGATGGTACAGACTGACTTTCTCAAGGTGATTTGAGTGTTATCGCCAAAAGTACCCAAGATGCGATAGAATTAGATACAAAAGGGAGTTAATGTTTTACCTACCACAACATTAATCTATTACTGTGTGGTAATTATATTGCTATATTTATTGTGCTTGTAAAAGGGAAGGGATAGGTCACTTATGGTGAGGCATCGGGAGTGCTCGAGGGGTGTGCTGGTGCTGAGGGTGCCCGGGCTCAGATGTGATCTTGGCTTTGCAGTCAATAAAACTCAGCAAACTTGCAGGAAGGACTCAAATCCCAGTGCTGGATCCCACTGTCTCCCAGGGATTGCTATTTCCAGTATGTGCCTGGCAAAAGCTTTGCACGCCCATTTGTTTTCTCTAATCCTGTCCTCTGCACAGCGTTCCAGTTCCCAAAGCCAATAAACACTGGGAAGAGCCACTGCAGCTCCGCACGAGGGGACGTCAGCAGGAGCGAGCCCCCACGATGCTGCCGGCCAGGGACAGCCCCGACCCGTGCTTTCCCCCGAGGAAAAGGGAGGGAGGGCAGGATGGTGCCCGTATCTCCCTCTGGGGAATTATCCACGGCTACGGCATGTCCTGACTGTGGGAAGCAGATGGGAAAACAAACATATTCCCCATCTGACGTAGAGAGATGTCGGAGGGGTTTTGTTATTCAGAGCAAGCCTGGGCCCTTTTGCCATGAGCACATCAAGGATGCCGGCAGCCGGGCGGGCTGCGGAGCACACGCGGCGGCTCTTGAGCAAACAGCGGCCTGTTTGTGAGATTGCAACAAACCCGCGTTTCCCAAACATTTTGTCCTTGCTGCCTTGCCACATCGGTACAGAGCATGTGAGGAGGAACCGCCGGGGAGTCCAATAAATACGGGCACAGACATTGATTGGAAGGGAACAGCAGCAAACCAGTAACTTTCCACAGTAACTGCAGAGGCTAAAGCCCTGCCTACATGGGAATTACCGTTTCCATTATTATCCCACTAAAAACATCCTCATTTAATGCCGATGGGGTTGGAAATGTATTAATAAGTGGCACAAAGGGAGAGCAGGAGGAGGGAGGTGCGAATGCCCCAGCGCGGTGCTGGCAGTCACCACCGCTCGCTGTATTTCTCTCTCCGCCGATACTGCTGCCTGGTTAAGTTACATGCACAAATAATCTTTTTTCCCCCCAAGCTACTTTTGATTTTGTAGGTGTGGTATATTTTGTTTGCAAATAAATCCCAATGGTACATGCACGTTTAATCATTTCATGGGCTTCTGGCCTGATTTATGGCTATCACAAAATGGGGAATATCCTTTAAATTTTCCATCCATCTTTGCAATAAACTGCAGTCTCAGCCTTTTAAAAGCTGGCAGAAGAGATGTGCAAACAAAAGGTATGAAACAAGATAGAGGTCCTGTGAAACACTAATAAAACTGTCCTATAAACCTGTCCAATTTAACAAAAATAAATAAAAAAATAGCCTCAAATCCTCCCACTGTGTTGTGGCCATAAGCGATACAATAATTCTTTTTAGTTCTGTGTAAAACTGAAGGAGTTCATGTACATTCATAAATTACTTTAAAGGGGATGAGAGGTTAAATATTAACCCCTCTTTTTTTTCCACCAGCAAACTGAATCCTGACAGTGCAGTGCTGGCACTTCAAAAGGCTTCCAAGTTTTCTGTGTGAGTAGACAACCCGGCTTACTTGAAAAATCACACCCTGCTAATTTATTCAAGGTTAAACATGATCTCAGTAAGATGCTAAAAATAGTATCCCGCTGTTTTCTTTGGATGTTTAAGTATCTGGTGCACTCCTCATTCACCGATGCTGTAGTGACCAAAAACCCGTCTGGTAGCATTGTGCAAAACAATAGAAATCGAAACTTTTTCTGGGCAAAGAGAGAAAATCAGAGATAACAGCCAGAAAATCCCCAAAACACCCAGACGACCCTGCAGTATGGTCCCACCCTTAACCACAAAACAAGAATAAAGGAGTGAATCTTTTGCAAAAATCTTAAATCCTGATCATAGTGGTGTTTCAGGAGACAAGAAGGGGTTTGCGTTCAAGAAAGCCTTTTCCTCTCCCCTCATTCCAACTTTAATGATTGTTTACTTGTAGTTAGTACAGTGAATTATTGATACCAAAAATTTAATTGGGTAGGAGTGTTTCTGAATGAGCTAATTTCTAGGAAATCAGAGGACTGCACTTTCCACAAGACTCAAATTTTGGCCCTTTCTTGCTCTCTCTGGTGCCGATGGAACCTGGATCCCATCTCAATGCACAAGCCTCAGGGGCAGGGCTCATGTGTGGGACAGTCCTGGTCCTTTCCGAAAGCAAGATCAAATTCAGAGTGTACAAACCAGACAATCTAAAGGACCCTGCTGATGCTTTTCCCAACAACCTCAGCCCAGCTGCCCCAAACCCATAGCGAACATACAGCCCTGTGCACTGTGCTCCCAGGACCAGCCCATGCTGAGACCCTCAGCCCCGCACCAACACTGCTGCCCCTCTAGACAGACACTTACAAGCCAGCTCAGGTATTTGCATCATATGGCGCTTTTTAAAGCAGAAATTTCCCTTCTACCAGGCCAGACAACATAGCCCCTCTCAATCTTGTATGCAGTGGAGTTGTTTCCAGCAGGGGAAAAAAGAGAGAAAGAAAGATCCAAATGTGTCATGTCAAGTCTTACAACACAGGAAGATTGGAGAAAAAAAAAAAAACCAAACCCACTCTGGATCCGAAACACCAGTTTATCAGTTTTGCTGGGGAACAGCAAGTTTTCCAACATCGCATGCACACCCGTCGAGCTGTGGGTCAGTGGGTTGCCAGCAGCAGGGAGCAGACGAGGGTGACACAACCCTGCTAACCCCACCCCAGGTGTATTGTCACAGGCTGGGAAAAGGATCTTTTCCAGCTTCTTCCCCTCTGCTGTGAATAAACAATGCTATTACCACACCCTGGAAAGTCTGATTGCTGTTATATGGGCTGGCTGAAAAGTGGCGTGCCAGAGAAAAAGAGTGTCAAACTCCTGCGTGCCAGTGCTGGGACAACGGGACACAGCCAGTGTGGGTGTCGCAGCTGTGGTCTCCCAACGTGAATCGGGGTGTGCCACCAGAAGATCTTGTACAAACATTTGTATCCTCCTAATACTGCTCTATCCCAAGATATGACTTCTTTTTTACTCTAATGCTTCGCAATACTGTTTAATATTAATCTAGAACCATCCTAAAGCAAATAACTGTGTTCTTTTTGTGCACACAATTGTGCAAGAAAATTTCTTTCACTGTCCTGCACACATGGTTTGGATACAGCTCTGGTCAGCTAAGCTAATTTCTGCAAAGCAGTTGCTCAAGGTGCTTTAAAATCTTCCTTACCAAACACATAAGCAGTTTGTGAGCACACAACCTGACTGTGCACTCATAAAGAAGTTTCAAAGAATGTGACTATGTGGAACTTGAAATGAGTCATCTTCCATCAGGTTGCAATCAATAATGAAGGCATGAGCCAAGGTTTTATAACTTTTACCATAAACCCGATAAAAATCATGCTTCAGCTCAAAGAAAGGAGCTGATAACCAGATTTCAGCCTCTCCAAGCTGTGGAGCTTGCTGCATTGGCAATTGGCTTCAGGCCCATCTAGAACTGACCAAATCAGCTTCGGTTTGGTCTTTATTAATTTGAGGGCTAAATTTTTTTTTCCATCCGCTGTATTTGCTCCATTTCTCCTAAATTAAACCAACAGACATTTTTGCTACATCCATGACTTATGCCAAATTTCAAGACACTCTCGTTCTCCAGGAAAACATATGGTCAGAAGGTTGGAAAGATTTTTTTCATCACCAGTGAAATCTCATGAATTACCAGAAATCAGTGACAAATTTCCCCTTGGTTTCAGTGGGACCATGATTTCACCCCTTGGGTAGGGGATATTTAACTTGGTGTCATGGAAAGAAACTCTCAAGTTCCTTTCTAGCTCCCTCATCCTTTAGCTGTCAGTGGCTTGGAAAACAGCACAAATGAAGGGTGAAGAGTGTTGAAACCATCACCCAACTACCTGCCCATCAGGGAGATGTACAATCTGTTGTGGGTTGTGCCCCCACTTTGCCAAGCACTCAGTGTGCAAACACAGTCTCTGCCCAGAAAGCTTGGAGTAAGTAAAATAGTATCATCCATGCTCTCCTATGAGCATGGTGAATGAGCAGAGATCAGAAATGCTATGATAGGTCCCAAACTTTCCCAGGGAAGCTGGCCATAGGGAGGTAAGGCATAGGTTAACAGAAGTGGTTTTTCTCTTGCTTAGCATTAGGTACTGTAACACTTAGTATATCCTTTAATGCGTTGGAAGGGCACTTTCCGATGGTCACTGGTACCCAAATGCTCTACAACGCTTCATCTCCCTCTTCATACAGCCAATGTGAAGTACAACAAAATGCACCAACCAATATTGGATTGTCCTTCAGTACTAGTGCTAATAGTGGCTCTATAGTTGTGCACTAGCCACCATGAGGACAGCAACACCGAAGGGTTTGATCATGACTCAGGTCCCAACTCGGGGGACACAGAAGTTGGCTGCCTCTAGGAGCATTGCCTGTGTGCCCTGTGCCACGGAGGAGCAGCTCTCACACCGTAAGGCATCATGTCCAAGCTGTACCTTGCCCTAAGGGTTTCGCTGAGATACATGAGCATCATCCAAGTCAACCACCAAACACTACTCTGCAGTAGTCAACTGCTGGCGTTTATGAGATTGAGGATGGCAGGTCCTTGCTGAGATTGTCGCAGCTGGGACTAGGAGTTGCACTAGCAGGTATGTAGTGAGGGAATTGCTGTGGTGAAGCACTTAGAGATCAAAAAAACCCTGAGCAAGCCCATCCCTTTCCCAGTATAAAAACAGAGACCCAAAGACACCAGCCTCCCAGGATGGGTGAATATTGTTGCAAGACTCTCATTGAAATCCCCATCTGATAAGATGGAAAATGGGGCGCTCAGCTGCAACAACAAGAAATCTCCCACTGCAAAATGTGAGCATCATCTCTCCAGGCCAGGGTTACCACTGCTCTCCACCATGCTCTGCAGTGGGAGTAGGGCCAGAGACAGCAGCAGGCAGTTTTGAAATATCTGTTTGCACCTACCTTCTTTCTTCATGCCAGCTCTGAAGCACTTCTTCAGCCTGCAGTACCTGCACTGGTTCCTCTTGTCTTTGTCTATCACACACTGTCTGCTGAAC